ACTCTCCTTCTCACATTAAGTGGGAATGTAGAACGGGTTGAACAAGAAGTCCTGTGTCGTTTTGCGATATTCGTAATAGTTTTCGAGAAATTAATTATTTTGTCTCAGCTAATGAGAGCAGAGGAAGCGACAGCCGAAAGAAAAATATTTTCGGCCGGCACGCGACCGTAATACACGCGAATCGCTATATCCTTCCGTCCATAGCTACGAGACACAGCGAGGCTCGATACACTAACACAGAAAATTTCTTAATTTTGTTGAAAATTTTTCTAAAAAATTATTAAAAAATCAAGAAATTAGAATATTTTCAGAAAAATTCAGAAAGTTAAAACAATTTTATACTTCATAAAAATGAAAAAAGTGAATTTCTCTGAAAATCTAAAAATTTCTCGGAAAATCTCTGAATTTCTCTGAAATTATTTCCTTTAACAGAAATGCAAAGAAAGTCAGGAAAATGTCATACTTCATAAAAATGAAAAAAAATATGAAATCTCTTAATTTCTCTTGATTTCTCTTAATTTTTACTATTTGTTGCCAAAAGAAGCAATTTAAAAACTTATCTAACAGTCAAACAGCGAAACTTAAACGAACTACTTAATACAAATAAATTAGGCACGGATATGAAGATCAGTAAGCAGAAGTGAAATACCTATCTTATATATACTGTAACTCTATAACAATAACTTCGATCGAGGTTAAGCAAAAACCAGGATCGGAAAAACTCGGAAAAATTGGAATTAATAATAATAATATATAGAAAATAAATAGAAATCAAATAATAAATAGAAAAATAGAATATAAGATTAAACACTCTGAAGTCTCTCGATAATCGATATGTAACCTCTATGAAAATCCAGTACATCTCCCTGTAAATTTAAATCATTTTTTTGTCGAGTAACCCTTATAGAAATATCATACTAAGAATCATTGATAATTACTTATTATCCAGTATTTTTAATACTGAAAATAAGTAATTATCAATGATTCTTAGTATTATATTTCTATAAGGGAATGTAAAACATTTTAGAGATCAAGCACCTTGTAAAGGAATCTTCTCTGCCCCACATAAGGCTCGATCTACAATAGATGGAGTAAGGAGTACGAGTAGGAGTAAGACGAAATGAAAATAATTTATTCGCTTACTTCCTTACTCCAGGGCCGCTATTCCGTTACCCACGTATCGACAGTTGTCGAATCGATAGGTGTCGTTGCGCAGTTTTTCCACGGTATAAAAAAGCTGCGCAACGATGCCTACCGCCCTTATAGAAATATCATACTAAGAATCATTGATAATTACTTATTTTCAGTATTAAAATTACTGGATAATAAGTAATTATCAATGATTCTTAGTATGATATTTTTATAAGGGCGATTCGACAACTGTC